CTCACAAATTTGCACTTACCCATGGTAGAGGCAAAAAGGTAACTAGCTATCACGGGTACATTAGCAGCTAGTTAGCGGCAGCCTCAACTGTCTCAAGTCATACAACGCAATGAAGATGTTTGAGTGTGACTCAAACTTTTGTTTGACAGAAAAGTCCCAAGAGAAAAAAATACATTAGATATACAAGACTAACTAGTCCTGCCAAGATTACATTTAAAACATGTGATCAATGTACTAAAGACCAACTTATTTTTAAAATAAATGTAAGACATTTTTAGGCCTTAATTTTAGATATGAGTCAATCTTAGAGAACCAAATGGCCTCCTGTGCACTTTGGACACCCCTGCATGCGATTCTCCTGATAAAGGATACAGTTCTCATCACCTGTCCGGTTCTTGGGTGCCCCTGGCATGTTCAGGAGAACTAGTTTGGCCTCTGAGGACTTTTTAAGGATGACTTCATTCAGCCGGAGCGCTGTGTGCATGCGCCGCACGTTAGATTGGTTCCTGAGAGGAAACAAGTCGAGAGAAAAGGTCAAACTGATTCCCGCTGGTTGTTTCAAAGCGTCTTGTGATGCTCAGAGGTGATGCAGATGGTAGATGCACATTCGCACGTTTATTTTTGTAACATCCTCAGCTTATCATGTGCCTGACTGGATGGATATGAGATGTGGATTAATGAAATGAGGTTCATGGGGGCTTCAGTACTTACAGGTTCTCCCACTCTCTGCAGCATTATATGAAGAGAAATAAATCTTTATAAAAAAAAAACATTCTTCATTTTTTTTTTTTAGAAAATGTGATCCTACCTAAAAACAACCTCAACATCTATGCTATGGGAAAAGCATTTGATTTCCGATACGACACAGATATCTGAAGCTTAGTATTGGCCGATACCGATCTGATACAGAAAGCCAGCACTGAATTGACTTAAAATGTTTCTCTTTTTTGTTTTAAACATAAATGTACCGGATTACAAATGTATTTGATAACTCTGCTCCAATACAGCACATGCAAATATGCCAATAACTTCACACTCTTGGTCAAACATGTAAAAACTGAACAACTTTAATTTATGCAGTCTGTTCAGTTAGGGGTATAGCAGCCAAGGTAAAAACAAATAATAATAAAGAAACACAAACAGATAAAAACAATAGGCTAACTATCTTGGTCAAACATATAAAAAATGAACTTCAACAGATGTTTCAAATGATTCAGAAAGGAATTCTTAATGTAATGTACAAGTAATAATAAAGAATGGTGTCACTCAGAGCACAAAGCATAGAATTAAACTTAATAGATATGCCATTATGAATTAGGCACATTGTCACCAATACCTGATCTGGAAACTTTTTCTATATCAGGACCAACACAGATACTGATATTGGATTAATTCATCTCTAGCTAACAGTTCATAGAGCATGGCTAGGTACTCACGGCTTCATGTTGAAGATGTCCTTGATGTCATCATGTGTGGTCACTCCGAGAGGCTTGGCTGCTTCACCGTCACACTTTTCTGTCCAGGTCCTCTGGATCTGCTCCCCGGGACTCTGAGCCTCCTCTCCGGGGGTCAGCGGGGTCGCTGGGGTGGCGGGACTGGCTGGGGTGGTGTTGTCATGGATGAGCTGGACCTGAGCAGGGGGGGATACAGGGGAAGAGGCCGACTTTGACTAATGAGACGAGAGGAGAAAGAGGACGAATGTGGATTCACGCACATGTTAACACGGAAAGTCAAAAAGCCACAGTAGAAGTGGGAATATGGGAATGCAGGTAAAGTTACAGAGAGCCACAGTGTTTGAGAGAGGAGAGGAAGGAGAAAGGGGATTAAACATTTCTGTTTGTGTTTCTTCAGCACATTGCCTGTCTGTCTGAACACACACAGGTTCTTCATGGCGTTAGAGATAAAGCTGTTATCAGTTTAAAAGAAAATGGTTTTCCCACTGGACTGAAATGATCCAAACTGTTGCTAGTAGTAGCAACAGCAGTCTTACGTTATAGGAAATACTTTTGATATTAAAACATCTTCCAAAACAAAATGTTCTACTCAGTATGAGTTCTGTTCTGAGCTAACTTTCTGCAGGCATTCTAGTGAATTGGACTCTCTTGTTGAGGCAGATCGTACCTCTTCTTCAGGTTTCTCCTCTTTGCTGGTGGCGGGCGGCTCTTCGGTCACACTCAGCTGGGTGGTCACGGCGGCCGGGTTCTTACGGCGGATAGATCCGCGGGAGGAATCGGTGATGCTCTGGATCTGTGAAGACACAAAAAGAGGAGAGAAAAAAAAGGTGTGATACATACAGATGTTGTCTTGCTCTGTTTTTATCATTACATTCACAAGGTGTGTGACATTTATTAGTCTCTTGCATTGAAGATCAGACCCTTTGTGTCATATAAGCATACTTTTAACTTTTTCCTCAATGTCATCTATAACTTCTCTGAAGTCTTCCTTTCTCTTTATGGCACTGTTTGTTCTTATATTCTCCAACGAACCTCTTTGCAAAGAGATGGACTATATTTACTAATTCAATCACATTAGAAAGCAGTTGGGTGCACTAGAATTATGTATGTCAGATTTACAGATTATTTGCAAAAATGAGCACAATCACTTTTGCACTTTCATGAACTTTAATATTTAACATAGTAACAGAGTCAGAGATGGGGCTCTGGGATGCTTTGTGGTTTTCTTTGCATGGCATGATTTAAAGGGGATGTACTATGCATTATCCAGCCAGATAGTGACATTTTGTATAACAATCAAGTAACTATGATACCTGTATATCAGACATAACTTAAAAGTTAAACTTAAATCTTAAACATCACAATTTGATGCCTTGATATTGGCCTCATTCCAACACGCCAGCTTCATCACAACAATGCTTCTCATTGTGCTGTTAATCACTAGAAGTGTTGGACTAAGAATTAATTCATATGATGAGCTCAGCAGACTCACAGTTCCACCAGGTGCTTACTCGTTGCTGCAGCCACTAGTCTGGAGGAGCTGAATGGATAAGGCGAGGAGGAGTGGCGCTCGGTGAGGAGAGCTCAGCTGGAGACTACAGCTCCATGGAGTTTTGTGCAAACAAGTGAGATTTGTAAGAAGCTTTTAGGTACCCTTGAATGGTGGGAGATGAAAGGATTTCTTAAACATGCACGAAAGAATCAAAGCAAGACTACAGGTATGTTTCTGATGAGGGAATATCACTATAATGTGATGTAAGGCTCAAAAAAGTAAATTTTACACTAAATCCCCCCCGTTTAAAGTCTGGGAGTATTTGCTGTGATGTCAGCGTCTTAAATATGCTAAATGTTTTTTTTTTTGTTTTTTTTTTTAAATGATCAACTTCAGTTTGTTTGGAAATGGCCTTATAACTTTTCATTCTTAGAAGCTGCAATTCCCTGGAGATTATTACTGATTTCTCTCCTCCTTGGCATAGTGGCTGCTTTTGGGTAGTCTCTGCGTTTGTCGTGGTGGTCACACTCACTCATAGTCAGTTAATCTGTTGTATTTGATTGGGATCACTCTTTCTCCTTTAAAATTCTTGTCAAGCAACAAAGGTATAGTTATTTTTCCAAAGACTACACATTGACAGTTTTAGAAACCGTGTTCTCCCTATAACTCCATATTAAGCATAATTTAAAGGAGTAACACAAAGACTTAAAAATGTTATTTTCCCACCTCTGTCAAAACATTGTCATGCTGTCAAACACAGCATGAGAGCACTTGCTGTTCTGGCTGTTGTCAACTCTCTGATAGAGAGGATAAATATGGTGACCCACTGCTCTGATTTAACACAAGATCTGCTTTTGTCCAGAGGGCGTTGTGTGTCATGTTAATTCAAATCAAGCCAAGCAATGCCGAGTCGGCTTGTCAAGTCATGTCAAGATAATGTGCGCATATCCGCGTACTTCTAAAAACAAAACTTTGACATCAACAAACTTCCTTACCTCCCTCTCGCGCTCGGTCTTGGTCAGGTTGATCTGTTTCAGCATCTGAGAGCGTTGTTCCATCACCAGCGTCTTCTCGTACGTGTAGGCTGAGATGTCACTGTCATGCTGAAGGAAAAAGAAATATTTTATTTGTCTGTTCTTCATCCATGTTCTAAGAGTCCTTGCCAGATGTTTGTTTACACACAAATGGAGAGGAGAAGAGATATGTTCTTCCCCTGAAACCAAAATGTTTAAAAGAAACAGGTAAAGCCTGAAGGATGTTGTGCCAATTAAAATGTATTCGGTGAACAATAACAATTATTCCTGTGCTGAGGCAGAGGAATACACAGCAGTCATTTATCCTTGTGTGAAAAAAACAGTAGTTGTGTTTACTGAAGCAACCGGCCGAGCCTGAGGCATTGCTGGATTCTCTAATTATTTCCCCAGCTGAGTGGTTCTGACATTAAAGTGCTTATCAATGCTCTAGAATGCATGTTGTTTTACTTACACAAATGGTGCGCTGCCAGCTTTGAGAAAACTCACCATTTCAACTACTTCCACCATAGCATCAATGCGGAGGTGATACAGGAACGTAGTCAGGTCCTTCTTCATCTGGATGCTGTTGTCGTCCATCTGGGCCACAGTGAAGATGCGCATCTTGCACTTCCTCCAGACCTAAAAATTCCACAATATAGTTTATCCATTTGTTAAAACATCTCCAAACTCTTAAAGCTGTATTTTGCATGGATATAACTGCACTTATATTATTTTAAAATGTGGATCTCGCCAGTCTCCATTACTATTGTGGTGGTAATTAACAGTACCTTATGTTGGCGGAGCAGGAAGGGCAGCAGCATCAACATGCCTCCATCATGGACGATCCACCACACATCGATGTGACCCTCAGTAAAGCGTTCGCTGTTGGACGGGAATGCTGAAATGTTCTTTGGTACCAGGAGAGCGAGGCGGGCAATGGTGGTTTCTCTGACCAGCTCTGCAGATAAGGCAGCAATGTAAGGCAAAGCCTGATAAAATTATGTTTTGCACTATTTAAAAAAAAACTTTCCCGGTCTACATCTTACGTATTTTATGTATTTTTGCAGGTACCTATTTATATACGATAAAAACCCACAATATCTTTTATTCTTCCTGGCTGACATTAAATCAGGCCAATTGTTTCCTAAACCTGTTAGAAAAATATTTACTAAAACCCAGAATAATTTGAGAGAATATTTTTAAAAGATTGTTTTCTTTGAAGGTAAAATTTTACATACATTGAAAATACTATGCCTTTAATCAATTTTGGAAAGCCTAAATTATGACCTCAGGGCTTTGGAAGCTTCTGATGGGAAGAGTTAGTGTCAACATTTGCCACAACCTGTGGATGTAGTTTAAGGTAAACCTGCAAACTTTCTGATTCCTTGTTTGACATAAAAAGAAATCAGCCAATCACAGCACAGAGATGTTAACGTCATATTATTCAGTACAGAGACGTTTTGTCAGAAATGAATATGAACAAAAAACAAAGATCTTGTGAAGATGCAGGCTGGAGCTGGTACAAAAGTGGCATTATTTGAAAAGAGTCCTGTATAGAGAAACGATAAAGTTAAATTGAAGTGAGAGGGATTAATGACCATTGCTATATTTGGAGGAAAAAGGGTGAAACTTCCCAGACTCACCAATCCAACAGAAAAGCATTGGATGCTTTCATAGTGAGCAAATGTTCAATTGAAATATTTGGATTATTTCCAGGAGGAATATCCAAAACATTTAATGTAAGTCATATAGTTTAATGCTACAAACTACAAAATAAATTTGTGTAAAAATCTGACTTAGAAGAGCATACAAAATATTTTAAGAATCTCTTTCTTTCTCATTGTTCTGGCCTTTAGCAAACAGAAACCCCCAACTGACTGAAAGCAGATTAAATCAGTGTTTAATCTGATTTAATGTCAGGCGCTGAGAAAAAAGGTCATGTTTCCTGGATGCATTAAGTTGTAATAAAGACAAATTGGCCAAGTTTAAACTTAGCAATAAAATGGGGAGGAAAGGGGATTAAAGAGTTTAAATGTTGCATGGTTGTTGGTGCCAGATGGGCCAGTCTGAGTATTTCAGAAACTGCTGACCTACTGGGAAAATACTGGGATGAAAATTCCTGAATACAGAGGGAATTTTCATCCTTCTGTATGAAAATAAGAAAATGCATTCAGAGGAATGCAGACTATTGCAGTTTAAGCTTACAAATGGAAAACAAAATAGTATCTCATTCCAACATAAAATACCATCACAGAACATGGTGAACTTTGAAGCAAATGGAAAGACAAAGTTCCATAGCAAATGAAACTCTCAAGCAAACAGAAGACCATGACTACTACTGTCAGTTAAGAGGTAGAAACTGAGACTATAATTCACACAGAATCACCAATCACTGAAGATAGAAAAAATTCACCAGATTAAATTAATCTCCATATCTAATTATTTCCCACTGATTTCTTGAGCAAGACAACAAGCTGAATGTAATTACTCAAAGGCCTTTGCAGTCCTAAGCAGCACCTTTCAGACGTGGGAGATTTGCTCCATGAATGCTAAGAAAGCATATTTAGCAAAGTAGATGGTGAGATCAATACAATTCCACTCATTGACTATTTAATTCATTTCAGTTCAGTTAAATTCAAATCAATTTAATTGAAATTAATTCAGTTTAGATCTGATCAATTCAGTTCATTTCAGATCAGATCAGATCAGATACATTCTATTCAATGAAACTTAGTTAAACCCAAATTAAAACTAAGCATACCAATGAAGTTCCTCCAGGTTTGGTGCTCGTCTCCTTGCTTCCAGTTGCGTGGCCAGGAGACCAGCACAGCATTGTGTTTCAGGCCTCCCAGCCCGCTGGCCTGCAGCAGATGGGATGTAGCATCACGGAGGTTTGAGGAGACGGTCACCTGACAGAAGCCCTTCACCTTCTCAGTCTCCATTAATTTGCGCAGAGCCTGCAAAGTAAAACACATATAAAATAACATTTTTGAATTAGCTAATTACTCATTTTCATGTGTAATACGGATTTACAGTACAAAATATATACAACAAAAACATTTCCAATACATTAACTTGGGAATGTGAATGGATGTAGCGGACTGAGTATCCTGATTTCTTTTAACTATCACTGCAGATTTAGACTTGGATGCTTTCTGTGCGGCTCAGGATAAAAATGTTGATCGGAGGTGGCAGACTGTCGTCAGACTGTGAAATGCTCCCTGCCTGATCTGCACGCTGAGCCTGCTCGTAGTTCGCCAGGTAGGTGCCCTCCAGGGCCGTCCCGACGATGGTGAGACCTTTGCCTGCCTTCAGCTGGTTGGTGAGAGACAGCAGACGAGGCTGCTCCACATTCTGCTCTGCATCTGTGCTCACCAGCACCAGCAGCTGAGGTCTGAGGGGAAAGGTGAGCAGAAAGCAGAGGACATGAAATTTAAAGCAGACACCAAGTAGGTGAATGAGAAAGAAAAGAGCGTAGAGGGGGAAAAAAAGGCATTAGAAAGCATCATGAATGATTCATATGTTGACGTGGATGAACAAACACTTCTTGCAGTTTGACAGGTGTGACTTGAGAATGACTGAACACGCACAGACACGTTGTTAATTTCTATGTTAATTGGAAACATGTTTGTGTGTGTGAGTGTGTGTCATACCTCCAGTTCTTGGTGTGTGGCTGGCCTTCCTCAAGGCGCATGAGAGCGTATCGTGCAGCGCTCAGAGACAGACCTCGTATCCCATCACCCCATTCTTTCTCCGCACTGTGACACAACCAATATATTTCAGTCAGAACATAAACAGGTTCGTTGCTTCACATTCAGATGCAAAGGGCAAAAGGGCAGAGGCTGCTGAGATGCAGGAGGCTCTGCAAGAAAGAAAACGTCATATTCATCACATGATACGTCTTGCAGAACTGCACTGCAAAAACACCAAATCCTACCAAGTACATTGTTTCGTTTCTACTGCATATATCTTATTACATTTGAAAAAAGAAAACATCTAACAAGCAACTTTTTAGCCAAGAATAAGAGCTAATTTAAAGTCAATAATTACTAAATATAGATTAAAAAAAGGCAGATTTTTTACTAACAGGAAAATGTCATGTTATACATGTCAGATTTTAATGTACACACTACTTTCAGTTCAGATTAAACTGTTATAATCATAGTTATGTCTTTAATTCACTGAAACAGTTTGTTACTAATAAATGTTCATTTTTCCACCATGTTAAATGGTGGATAGATAAAATATTAGGTCTTCCCCCCCACCATACATCTCTGTTGTGGTAACATTACATTAGAAAAGTTAATGTTTAAGAAACACTCATAGCAAAAATTTAATCAAGAGTTCTGAGTTCAAAGAAGACAAAAAGCTTGAAACTAAAACAAAAAACCTAAAATGTTATTCAGTAAAAATCAAACCAAAAGGTTTTAGTCCTGAGCTGTAATCATCAGATGTTTACTGTAACTCTTTCTTGTGCACTCACCCTGCAAACTCAATGTATTTGTAGATAGAGCCGGCGATGCCCATGGCCACTATGGCGTAGTACCAGGAGCAGAGGAACATGAGAGTGAGACACAAGCTCATCCCAAGGAAGGACAGAGCCCTACAGAAGCAATATGAATTATTGAGTCCACATAAAGGAATGGAAGTTTGACTTGACACATAAAATCTGAGATGATGTCAAGAACTGACCAGTGATAGAACTTGAAGCGGGGCCTCCAGTTTGGAGTCCTGAGGAGTGTCTGGAGGGCGCAGGCCAGATTCACAAACATATAGCACATCAGGAAAAACCTGCAGGACACAAAGTAACTCAGGTTAACACAGCTTCTCTTATCAGAACTGACAAATTGGGATCCTCAAAATGGAAATGAAGGGAGAGAAGTTTTGGTGAGATTAATTTTGAGCGCACTGGCATTTCGATTTAGGCGAACTGATTGTTCTGAACTCTCCTACTGTTAGTTTTTAAAAAAAGAAATTAATTTAGTTTTCAGTTCTTACATGGAGAGGATGGGAGCCACAGAATCCAGGGAGGCAATGAGGATCCCGCTTTCACAGATACAAGCTGTCAGCAGGAGGGACCATGTCGGTTCTCCATTAGCCTTTCCGTGGCCAAAGATCTGCACAAACAGAAAATTCATTACCACAGCTTTTTACACAGTTTTGTCTGCATGCGGTACCTTCTGCTCTTGTTCCTGTAAATTAGTCACTACGTTCTGATTGTGAAAGCAACAAAAACTCACCCGAAGGGCGGGCACAATGCCATCCTTGGCGATGGCCTGCAGAAGACGGGGAGCTCCCGTCAGGCTCTGGAGCCCTGCCCCGCAAGTGGAAAAGAAAGAGCCAACCACGATCACCCATGGTGACGGCCAGGCCAGCGTCCCGATGACCAAGTTCCCGTGCACGCCCTCTCCGAACCTAAAAAGGGAGATCAACAATACTTTAAAACATCAAACAGTCTCTTTTCTCAGACTAAATGAAGTGAGACTGAGCAGAATTTAATAAATCAAATCACTTTCAAGCACCAAACATGGACTTACTTGTCCCTGAGGACCACCCCCTCAATGCAGGCACCAAACAGAATCACACTGGACATGTCTGGGAAGTTCAGCTTCAGGAAAGGTAAGCTACCGCACAGAGACAGTTGATATGCTCTCCAAATGACGGGTAATAAATCCACTCAACTCTTAAAATGCATTTCATTTTCTGATCTAGTGGTTAAAGTATATTAGCAAGGAAAATGCAGTAATCAATATTGTTTAGTGGAGTATATAAGCGATCAGTGACACTGTAACAAACATCCCTCGGGTTTATTAGCTTGCACTTGCATAGGCAGCCACATAATGTGATTAGAAGTCCTAATCAAATTTGTGTAGACTACAAGCTGATTATTTAGAGAAACACTGGAGGTTATTCAATTCAGCTGCTTCTCTCTATTCTGCCTGTATGGAAGAAAATTGATAACTGCACAACAAGTTAGTATTATAAATCATGACCTTTAATAAGCATTAAAAATGGTTTATTTTTAATGTAGATAAAAATAAACAAATATAAGAAGTGGCCATAAACTGACTTGGAAGCAAACTTTATAGATGAGGCAACAATATTAATAACGCATGATAACTTTTAGCTAAGTGCCAAAATGAGATGAGTATCATCACAATAATGACCTTTCTAGATTTAAAATACTGACCTTTAATTGAGAGGCTCCCTGCCGGCCACAATCACTTTCTTTTTTTAACTACAGCTGAGAAAAACGCCTAAGTTCACGACAGCTTAAAATCCTGTCAGCGACCAAGTATCTGACTGACACAGGACAACCTAGGCGACCTTTCTTAAAGTACTGTAATCTATTTTTAAAACGTTCTTGTTTTGAGGATGAGTGTGGTGCTGAAGGCACAGTCACACGAGGATACAGACAGTGGAGGTGGTTGTGATGGCTGCAATGGTTCCAATGGGGATCGACTTCTGGGCATCACGCAGATCGCCGGAGCGGTTGGATCCAGCCATGATTCCTGTGGAGAAAGTTGAAGCAAACAGCACCAAGATTACAAATGCAGAAAAGTTTTGTTAGCTTGACATTAAATGAGAACAAGACAAGTTTGCATAGCACATTACAGCAACGAGGCATTTTGTCAAATGCCATCAATAATCAATTTTCCATTTATTATTACCGTAACTCTGAACAGGTGAGGTTTTAGCTTTGATTTAAAGGAACTAAGTGTTTCAGCAATCTGGAAGCAGTTGTTCCAGATTACTGGAACAACATTCAGCTGATTGAATGGGGATGCAGAGCAGGCCAGAACCAGAAGACCTGAGTGGTCTGGAAGGTCGATCCAATGACAACAGGTCTTTGATTTAATGTGGTTCCATGTTGTTCAGTGATTTACAAACTAAGTGTTTTAAAGCCTACTCTCTGAGTTATAGGGAGACAGTTTAAAGACTTTAGACCTGGAATATGTGCTCTATTGTGCTAGTTTCAGTAAGAAGCAGCATTCTGAATCAGCTGCAGCTGTCTGACTTTTTAGGTGTCCAAAAAAAAAAAAAAATCAATCAGATAGTAAGTAATCAATGGGACAAAAGATAAATGCATGGTTGTTCCAGATCTTGCTGGGACATTAGTCCTTTAATCCTAGAAATGTTCTTCAGGTGATAGAAGGCCGACTTTGTAATTATCTTTATATGTCTTTGAAAATTCAGTTCTGGGTGCATCACTACCCACATGTTTCAGGCCTTATCACCAGTTTATCACAACACAAGGACCTATAAGCAAATCATAAAAAAGAAAACAACTGGAAGCATTTGTCACCTGTCACTGATGGGAAGTAAATGCCAACCAGCAGAGTGAAGAAGCTGGTGATGTCAGCTAACACGTAGCGGTTAGCGTTGGTCAGAGGGTCATCATGGTCCTCCACTGACTCCAGGATCGGCTTAGCAATCAGATCCCCCTTCTCATAGTAGGTCCCAAACAGGTTGTCTGTTGGTGATAAAATGTGTTGACAAGAATAATGGTCAACACTGGTCACTACATAAGAAGAAGCTACAAAAAGTATTGATCTATCCAGAAAACAGGACATTGTTTTATTTTTTTGCTTCACCTACAATTATGAAATTCAGAAATGTTTTTTTTTTTTTTTAACTATGACATTTTAGTAATTCTGAAGTCAGCAGACTGTTTTTCTCTTTTGTGCTCACAGAAGTCCTCAGTTGGAATCAAGACAAAAACACCTCCAAAGTCAGGATAGTGATTGGGAAAACTGCAGGCGGCCCAGCAGCCCTGAATTAGAACAGCTTTTGTCCTTCTTCAACCTCTTTAACAGAACGCAATCTTTAATGAGGGAGCTAATCAGTTTTAGATGTCATTAACTGTGGCAATAAAGGTTGTCACCGATCCATACATAGAAATGTCGCAGTAAATCTACCCTGAACAGCAAAATACGAACAGTTTCAGGAGTGAAGAATCATTTTTAAAGGGCACAGTCCTTACCTCATGATTAATGCAGGGTTTTATTGTTAAATATCAGAGTCAAATAAGGTTAATCTAGCTCTGCGCTTTCTAAAGCTGAGACTTTGGAACCAGTCTGCAGGAAAAGCAGTGAGTGAAGTGAACTTTGTCTGGCTACAAAACTCTTCCAGCTTTGACGAATAAAACTATTTGATCCAAAACCCGGTATCCTTGTAAAAAAAATGACAGAGCTTTTGTACCACATCCAATATTAAAACATATAAACAAATTCTATGCTGCAATCAGTAAAAGAGAAGTTATTATTTTCATTTCTACCCTTACCAGAAGAAAATGTCTGTTTCACTGAAAAAAGCAATACCAAAACACTTTTCTTCCCCCTCTTTAAAATGTATTTTTTTTAATGAAGCTTCTGTCTTTGAATGTTAAATTGCCAAAGTTTCAGTAAATGACCCGAGCAATGCATAACATGACCTAACCTTTGTTCTCACTTTGCAAAGATGTAAACTCTAGCAGATCCAAAACACTCGGACTCACCTGACAGGACTCCACTGGTAATCCCGGGAATTCCCTGGATCTGAGTCACGTTGTTGGCCAAGAAATATTTGTCGCAGGTAGCGTTGAGGAAAGGTGAGTCACAGAATATGCGCCACAGCTGGGTGGTGACTGTCCCATTAGCGGTCTCAATGGTTTTGGCACAAACGTCAAAGTTCTTCCACACCAAAGTGCGATTCCCCAATATACAAACGCTGTGGAAACAAATTTTTGGCTTCTTCAAATCACAAAATACAGCATATTCAAATTATTGTGGTCTGATTTGATTTTACGCAGCAAATTTGGCATAAATACTGTACTGTGGTAAGTACAGCAAATATGATTATTTACTTAGTAAATAACATAAAAACCAACAACAGTAAATGAAAGTTTTCTGTTTTAAATGTAGAACTTTGCTTTAAAAGGCTATTGTTCTCTGTGATCTACTAAATTCTGTAGTTTAAGTTAATCTGGATATCGTCATTTATGTTTAATTTGCTTCAAAGGGGCCAGACTGTCTTGTAAAATAATCTTCCCTTAATTGGCTCTGATTAGTGGTAAGTGAAAACTCCTAAACTAACAGAATTGACTTAAAGCATGTACAAAAATGCACTTTTTAGTAAAGAAAAAAAAATCCAGGTTATACTCATATGCTTTGCTGTAAAAATTAGGATAATTTCTTCATTTTTCACTGGAAAAATGCAAAAATTAGAAAAGCAGAAATAGATATTGGCCAGGAAAAACCTAATCAGTGCATATCTGTATTTCACCAACGAGCAGCAAAATGCTATACTTCTTGGATGCAGAATGCTCTCCAAAATTATGCATCTTTCAGCTCTGCTGGGAGGATTCTTTTCTAAATTTAGCATTTCATGCAGACATGTCTTTCAGATACCGCATTTGCTGCATGTATTTTTGTTTTAGGTCTAACACTTCCTTTGGTAACACTTTATTTGAAGGGGGTTGAATAAGACTGACATGACACTTTCATAAACATGACATAACACCTGTCATGAACATCAATAAGCCTTCATGAATATTTATGACTGTTGTCATAAAGCATCATTCGGTAAATTATGACACTTTTAATACAAAGTTGACATTAAGTGTTGTTTTGTTTCTATGTGCTGTTTTTTCTTCAGCAGCCTCGATTTGAAGAGTAAAATGAATTTTCAGATGTCTGAATCAGTTTGATTTATGGTTGAGTTTCTTCTGCTGTTCTGTCTTAGTTGTCTCACTTACGGGAATTCAGGCGGTTCGATGCCGGTCTTGATGACTCCGGCGTAGACGGCCAGTATGGAGACGATGACGCAGGCCAGAAACACCAGGGCCAGCTTGTTCACGTACTTGACGCCAACAAATACCACAGTGGCCATGGAGGTCAGCAGGATGGTCCCATACACGCGCATGTTGTTCAGCAGGGCGGCTTCCGCCTCGGCACCCTCGAGGCCCTCCAAGGGGAAGATGGCTGCTTTGGGAGCTATGTAGATCTAAAGAAAGGGGGGGGGTCACACATAAAACACGCTTTTTCTCATGAAAAATCAGATTTTTGCCAGGGGGCATCTTGGAGGTGGTTGTTTCACTTTCACTTCTCATTTTCCAGAGTATCAGGGGATTTCAACTGGCAGACTTAACGCTAGAATCTTGGCCTTCTTGTGAACTGTTAGGAAAAATGTATTACCTGTCAACCAGCGGAAAATAGACTAAGGGAATCATAAAAAAAGACGCCAGTAGCAGGAAGAATGAGGCGAGGAGAGAGTAAAAGTCCTGATTCTTCCCATTAACAATCCTCTGTTGCACACCTTTGCTATTTTAACCCAATTTAATAAAGGAATTCAAGCAAGAATAATAATATTTGAAAGTTAAGTGTCATTAATACACTGCTACTATTACTAAATCCAAGAATAGCCCCATCATATCAAACTGTAAACCCACAATTACCATCAGTATCTGTCATCAACTCGTGATGATTCATAGTATTGCGGTTACATAAGCATGGGAGTTTCTTCCCTTTTTTTTTTAAAAACTACCGTTAGGTTTCCACCACAAACTATTTAATCATTGTAAAAAGGTTATTTTTAAAAGTGCCAAGAATGAGTGGAGCGCTACGGCTGAGCTCAGACGTTTGGTTTGAAAAGCTGATCTGATGTGAATAACAGCACATCACCAGGCGAAAAAAACAAATCTCCTGCTTCACTTTGAACTCTTCATACTTCCGAAAATAGCAGCTTCGGTTTGTGTTCTTGGCTGGGGATTGGAGGATGAAATGTATTCAAATGGGGACTGTGCCGGTCTGTTCCGCACTATTCCGACGGGATTGTTTTACAATGGAAACTAAGCCAGCTTTGACCCAGAAGACAATATTAACCTCCAGGCATGATCAAACTCTGCATGACCTTAAGAGACAAGCAGAAGGAGAGCGAATGATAACAGAATAAAACATTTTAATGATAAAATAGTCATTGTCAGAGCTGTTGGAGAGAATGCCTCTGTAAGCCTGTCAGTGTCTAGATCTCTCATTAATGCATTATCTGCATAATTATCCCAAAATTCCTTGCAGGATGTTGGGCTGCAGTGGAAGACAAGAGAAACAAAAGGCAGAAGAAGAAATGAGGAAGGAGGAATGATAACACTTTCTGAAATATATTCAAGTAATCTGTTAACAATATGGACAGAATGTGAGACTAAAATGGCCTTGATTTTCTGTGAGGATGAAGGATTTTCATCTGGTACAAAGCAGACTGCAAAGCTGACGTTAATTTCGTAACATCATGCCTGCAGACGGTTTATGAGCGGTTTTATTTTTTGGCCGTGTCCACGCCGGTCTAACGCCTGTTTTATAGATAGACAGCTTTTTCCCCGGTTAGAAAATTTAGGACACTTGTAGGTTTGTGGTCAGGATTAAAAATGCGAGGATCATCTTCCTGCTGCTGAGCAACAAAAATAGAGACAAGCACAGATAAGATTAACAAGCAATCAAGGTTGGCATGGGAACGCTGCAGCAGAAATATCTCAAGATATTTCTGACTCCATTGTTTGAGTGGGAGAAGACTGATTTCAGCTGTACAAGCATTATTTTTATTACGATAACACGTGATTTGTACAGAAGACTAAATTAATTAGATATTAACTCAAGAAATACTTGTAAACAATTTCAAATAGTGGCTCTATAATTTATTTTTTGGAAGATTTTTGTGAAAACAAATTATTTATGTATAACTAATGAAGTTAATGTAAGAACACTTGGAGGAAGGAAACGTAGGAAAAAAAAAATTACAATAAGTTGTTTTGTACTTTTGCAGTTTTGGTTTTCTTGTACTCAACCTTTAAGAATTCGAAATCCGTCTCTATGAAGCAGAACATTTTGCAAAAGTTGTGCAAGCTAACAGATGTCTGGAATGTGTTTAGAAAACTGATTATCTGTAATAATAATAATAATAATACACCTTTAAGCTGCTGAAAGGGAATGTGGTCACACAACTGCAATAAGTCATATGGACCAGCAGGAGATTGCAAGCTGCAAGTTTATTTTGCAGTTTGCAAAATAACCAGCTCGGTGTATGAGGCTGAGCTCATACACCATTTTCATTTGTGAAAATTGAGTATTAGGAGAGAGGGAACCCAGTAACCTTGGTAAGATGTTTCTTACCAAGAGCAGCTCAATGGCTCCCAGGATGTACATGGCTCCAGCGTAGGTGGTTCCCAGGTAGAAGCAGATCCCCACCGCTCCACCAAACTCGGGGCCCAATGAACGGGAAATCATGTAGTAGGAGCCCCCAGCTAAAAACAGACACAAGAGTAACATTGGCATGCATGTGTTTTCTTTATGACTCAGTTAGCTGTAATATACATCTATTGGAGTTTATTTTAATCAGCTATGTAATTTACTCTTTGCTTTCCACCAGTTTAGTGATTTGTTTATGATAACTTGATTATCCAAGCAGATTTATTGTTCAGAATGAGAATCAGGTCACCACCAATCAACAAGAAAAAATAGTTGATCATTTGTACATCACTTCAAAAACAAATGGAATAAACCTGAAAGTTTGGGCAAGTTTGATTAATACACTTATAATAGTTTTACTTTGATTTATAAATATTCACTTTTCCATAAATAATATTAGTAATGCATTCATCATTTGACATAACAGGGAACCCTGTGTTGTGCTACTAACCTCTACTTGTTAATACAGTGCCTTTATATTTATGCAAAACATTGTGCCAATTAATTAATTGTGCATAAATAAATAGTCCCTAATCAGCACTTCCCAACAACATAAAGGCTGCCACCCATTTTACGCCAGACGCTTATAATGGGTGTTCAGATCCAAGCTCCTTCACAAGCCTGTAATTTGCTGTGACCCCTGCTGAACGTAAGATGTGGACCATTATTACTACGTAGCCCCACATTACAGGCCGCATGCGTACAGCGACGCATCGTCACACAGATCCAAATGTGCAGATTTGGGTTCTACTGGCAGGAATTTGGCGGATACTTTATTTTGTGTAAATAATGTGTGACGAGAAAGTTAAAGAGTACAAGATCACAGACTAAAGATCCTAATGTTTCTGAATATATCAAGCTGTGCAGGGAGGAATGTGCCAAAAGCAATCCGTGAAAAGGGAAAATTTAGAAGCGGGCAGCATCAAACAGCGATGACTGTGTGGCGCCGGCGTCTGCTCACCCACCTGGCACTACTCCATTGGTAGCGACGGCACTCATCGAGATGGCAGTCAGCATCGTCTTCAAGGAGAGGGAGAGAAAAAACATATTACATCTTCATCAGAATCTGCTTATTATCATGATAGAAGGTGTTTCTTTAATTCTCACCAAATACCATCGTTTTATACCGTCACCAAATGTTACATTAAACCTAAAGTACGCTCTGAGCTCGTAGTAAATATAGACCGCATCTGGAAAGTATTTATGGTGCTTCACTTTTTCAACATTTTGTTATATTGCAACCTTACTCTACTCTATATTAATGCCCTATCCAACCTGATGGCACTTGAGGAATATTACAAAGAAATACTGTTGATCCACTTTGTTGGTGGATCAACAAAGTATGAAGCAAAGGTTGTGACTATTTATGTCAATGTAAAATTTTTTTGTTTTCTATATTTAATATCTGCAAAGCCCTCAAATGTTTACTTAAATACTGTCATGATGGGGTTTTTGTGTGTAGAATTTTGAGGAAAGAGATTAATTTAATGCAATTTGGAATAAGGGTGTATCAACAAACAAGATGTGGAAATGGTGAAGCGCTGTGAATACTTTCTGGATGCACTCTATGCAAAAACCTTTAACTAATAACAATAATAATAATAATAATAATAATAATAATAATAATAATAATAATAATAATAATAATAATTTTTGCAGTGGCATAATTTCACACTGAAATATTTAGAAATCATTAGCTTTAAATTAAGTACATTTAATCCAACATCAAGAAACAATGGTTTTAAAAACATTTCTGGTTTTGTATTCTCTACAAAAGAACAGAACAGATCTCTATGACATCAAAATACAACTATTATTCTCATAATGTAAACAATTCAAATATGAATTTATTTTCATCTTATTACACAATTAAGAGTTTCACTGGATGTGGAGACGTACTGGTAGTACATCTACTACTGGGAGCCTTCAGTGACTCTGTCCCAGAATGTATGAGCAGCAGGGTCGAGAGTTAAATCCTGGAATCAGCAAGGTCATGAGGACTGCTGACAGCAAACACTGACAGTGTTTATTATGCAAGCATAAAGACAGAAAACGACAAGCCTTAGGTCTGCACCACGTCACTGTAATATTCGATAGATAGCTGTAATTGTAGGGTACAGCTGCGGCTGGTAATGTATATCATTTTGAGTTCATTTGCTCATGAACCAAAGTAATGGAGAAATTAAATGCTTGGCTTAGTGAAATTGATGAATCAATAAAGCTATTGGATATTCCCTCCAACTTTATGTTTTAGGCACAATTCATGGCTAAGCATTCAACATATCTGTGTTTACTATTCAGAACATGCAACATAAAATCTGTCCCCTTTTTAATTTTCTTGTTTCACCAATGACCAATAGTTGAACATATGAAACCTGGATCTAACTCATCATGAACCTGGGTATCTAACAGACCATGGACAACCTTACATTTTCCTTCAAAAATATTTTCTTGTTGTCAGTGAAGTGATTTTATTGAAATTTTTTCTGGGTTTTCTGAAAATCTTTTGAAGGTTTTTGGACATTAGCTTATTTTAAGATGACAATCAAGTTATATCCAATCAAATGAATTATTGCAGAACAAATGACTCTTAAATCCAAGAGATGAATCAATTGTGTCTACAATTAAATGAAGCCAAAGAAACATATCTTTCATACTTCAATAGATGAAACTGTAAAAATAGAAGACTTTGACAAATGGAAAAAAAAAAAATCAACAGCAAACTGGAGTTTGAGGACAAGAGGAGTTCATATAATTCTATAGCATCATCCTGCTGCAACTCATAGTTATTGAGATATTTCTGGACCGGCCAAAATAGAATCCTGAAATGACGTATCCATGAGGGCAGGGAGACTGACAGTTTACAGCTATGCTAAAAGCTCATGCGTCCTGCTGGTTGGCGGTATATATAATATTACAACAGGGCCTGTCAACAGCTCTATGTGAACCAACAGAAACCAATCACGATTCTAATGTTAAGTCTGGTACTGAGTGGGAGAAAAACACCATCAGAAATGTAAGTGCACGCTTGAGTGGAGCTGCCTGTAACACTGACAGCCGGCCCTGGCTGCCCTGGAGAGGATAGGAGGAAGAGATGCGTGCAGTGAGTGGAAGAACAGGCATGGTGGGGTGGTGGGGAATGGGGGAACAAAGCGAATAGCCGTGTGAGTGACTGAGACTGAAAGAAAGACCATGTGTTTAACAGTACAAAGGTTGTATTAAGATTTCATTATTCTTTCAAACACCATTATTCGGTTTCTGAGTGTCTTTTTGCATTGTCACCACATGAAGGGGAGCAGCACAGACAGAAATAAAATAAGGCTGGAGGAGATGTGAGAAACTGGAAGATTTAAATGCCCTTTCACAAAACAGTTCTTACTCTCCAGCTGTTTGACTTTTCTATTACAAGGAATGGGTTAAAGAGAAATAATGCCTGTGCTGCAGAAAAGAAACCTGGATACTTGAAGAAAACTTCTGGACAACTGGATTTGAAAAAACTTGGTTTTCAGTCATCTTCAAATCATGCTGCATTCACTTTATCTCATCTCAAGACTTTTAGGCCATGTTTTTCTGCTTCCTTGTCAAAAGCTAGGTTTTATAAGCTATTGTGCTGGCTAACTTTTTTCTAAGAATAATTTAGCTTTTCTCTACACTTTATATCCTTACAAGGAAATCAAATTGGTACTGTTTTCCTTTGTGGTAATTGAAAATTTTGATTTATTTAGTTTGGTTTTACATATATTTTCACTGATACATGCCGATTACATTTAGGCAAGAATAGTAAGAGTAGCAATCCTCTAAAATCTTGAAGAAAACGAAGAAAAACATTAATTGACACCCAGACTTTGCTGAAATGGTACAAAATGCATAACTGAGGGTTTTTTACCTATTTGGATGTGGCCTGAGAAACCCTGCACTGATATGTGGGTGCAAACATTGGATGGATGGATGGATGGATGGATGGATGGATGGATGGACGGACGGACGGATGGATGGATGATGAAATTACTGGTAACACATTAAAGCCTCACCTTGCTGAAACAAATATGTTTTATATTCACAGAACCTAGAGGTTGAAGAGTGTTCCTAAGCCAACTTTTTTATCCCTCAGATTTTTTTATTACAGGGAGCCTTAAAATATATTGCATGGTACATTCCTGGAACATAATTTATGAAACTTAAATGTAGCTTGTTGCTTATTACTTTCTTCCACATATAATTACTATTAGAGGTTGGTTTTGAGAACAGCTAGCTAACCTGGAATGTCTTTGTTACTTAAAACTGATAAATTACACAGGGAATTAAATGTGTCTCCTGAAAGAACCATGTTGGTTCCAGGAAAGTATACCACAAGTTATTGAAAATAATTTGGTAAGCTCCCTTAAAATGCTCAGTAAATGTTCTTTGTAAGTTCTGTTAATGTAAGGGTAAGTTTCTAGAAAGTGCAAGTTCTGGGAAAGTGTCAGGAAATAACTGGTGAACTTAACTAAAACATCTATGTTCCTGAAAGGTTTTCTGTAAGTGTTTAGAAAAGTTCAAATAAATAACAGAAAATAATTGGCTAATAACATGTAAGTATCAGGAAAGTACAGGTTGTATTATGCAGTGGTATCCAATATTAAGTCATACTATTTTAATAGTTAAGCAGGCCAACTTCTATATATTTTATGCAACTTTCTGACTTGTATACTTATATGTATGAAGAACATAAACTGGTTCCTTTTCTCAGCTTCACTATGAAATGTTAAAGTTTAAGTTTAACTATGAACTTATACTGTAAGTCTCTGATGGGACATTAAAATCTTATTTCCATTTTCAGAGCATTCTTTGCCAGATACAAGGGACAAAGCAACACATTCTGATTATTTTCCACCACAGAATGCAGGATGCTCAGAATTATGTTTAACTTGCATCACATTCGCCTCTGTGAACACTGTAATGTGGTTAGAGCCACCTGAGGGCCCATTGGACTGACGATCTGGACTGAGAAGTGAGTAAGGCTCTGAATTTCGGTCTAATCTGGCCATAATGAGGCCACAAGCTCTTCTCCCAGCCCAGCAGATAAGACAGTAATTGTTTAAGTGTTTTATCTGATGTGGGCTGCAGCCACACAGAGGTAGCCAGACAAATACCCAATCACTGAATCACCACGCAAGTGCAGAGAACAGTAATCAATTGAATTGTGTAATTTATGCTGTTGGTACCATAGATGAGGACAAATGTGCAGGACAATGGGCAAGCTGCACATTAAATTCTGCTTATTTCAGCCACAGCAATTGGAAATGAAACAAGTCAAATTATGTAAGACAAGTTTGAAGACATCTGTAATACCTCCATTTATTCATACCAGAGACACAGTTCTGGCTGGTTCTGGCATAAAAATGAGGGATTTGTGGCAAACCTATTGGACAGGTGAAGAGAAGAAGTTCCCTACTATAGTAGGATTCACTGAGGTTAGCATCTTCTGCAGCCTTTAAGGGATGAGATTGATGTAGATTAAAACAGTGTTTAGGTTGGTGAAATATGTCAAAGCAGCATCCATAAAAACACCGTAGCCAAAGTTTACCCAGCGGAACAATGAAATGTAATAAGATCAATGGTAATCACTTCTTCTTTTTGTGGTTTGTGTAAAGGGCCTGACCTGTGCTTTTTAACCATACTGACAGGGTTAATAACTGTTGTTGATATACAGAATATAACACCTTAGCTTAATGACAGGTTATCATTTAATGTTTTCCTCAATTTTAATTTCTGATATGACCAGCAGTTAATAAGGTTTTTTCAGGGGATGCTAATTTCAGATCATTTCACAAGCTATTCAGGCTCTGGAGTTGAATATGTTAATTAATATATATTAATTAACAGAGGAAACCAAACTTCTTGGTAGCGACAATGGCAACCACACTGGACAGTCTCAACTGTGATTGGTTGATACCTGCTGCTTCAAAAAACACTTGATGTGTCAAAGTAAAATCTCCTCAGGCGTAGAGGGGGATTTCTGGGTCGATAAGTCAAGTTTT